TAGGTACCATGGAGCCCGGCGCATTGGATTTAGACCTAGAGACTATGTGAGATCATCTAGCACCAAAAGCCTCATGTTAGAGATGAAAAAGACTGAAATATCCAGCTTACACCATTTGGGTCAGAGCTGAGACTGCAGTCTATGTTTTCTAATCTCTAGTCTTTCATATCTTTTGATTTTGCCGATTTAATTCTGGTGTTAATTCTATCAAAATTAACATTATCAAAATGCCGACTTCTGCTAGTGTGCCGGTCCAGCTCTATTCCTGCACCGTCTATGGCTCTCCCAGAAGCTCACAGTGTCCTGCCGCTCTCCAGGGCACAGGACAGCATGTGGCTTCAGTCTGTGCTGAGGGTTTCTCAGTGTTTTCTGCCAGACCAGTCTGCAGCTGCTCTGTGGGCAAAACGATCTGAGCAACGCTGGACAACAACTTTCTGTAGACATTCACTGTGTATGCGGTAGAGTAAACTGCTCTACAAAATCCTACAGAACGGGACCTTCTACAAAGTAGTTTCACACACAACCATCTTCTGCTGCTACTCAAGTCTCCATGCACACTTAATGTGGCTCCCTGTTAGGTGGACACAGGTATGTGACTACTGACAAACAGTTCACCAGAGCGCTAGACTAAAACACTAATCCTAACCTTCTCAAACAAGCAAATAATTTCCCAAATCGCTGAAAATACTTCTTTATAATTTTAACTTTAAATTTCAGATTCTAGAATTCTATGAATTCATGAGTTAGGCAAGCTACAGGAGCCAAGTAAACATTAATTTGGAACTCATCAGCCTTCAAACAATTTGTTTAGCTACTTAGAAACAGTAATCTTTTAAGTGTCAAAGTCACACTTCATGTTATAAAACTGTAGCTTTCCACCAGAGGTCTCCTCAAATTCTATTATCAGGCAACTCTGGTGAAACTTGGCATTGAAGTGTATCAAGACCAAAGAAAGAATTTCTTAAAGGAAAGACACCTACTGACCGTCACTGGAGAACTGCTTGGCTATTTACTTAGGCTTTGTGGGATGTTGTTTTGTTTCACAGCTGTCAGGAGTAGGGTAACAAGAGACACCTCCAAACACAGTTGGACAGCTCCAGGGCTGTTACCCTTGGTTTTGAGTTATTTGCCCCTTGCAGTCTGAGCAGTCCCCTAGCGGACTCTTGGTTAATCACAAACCTAGAGCAATGAAGACAGAGGAGGCCTGGCAGGTTGCTCTGTGTGCACACTACTTGTGAGGCCTTCTTGTTCTGTATTTTGTAAGAAGCTTATCTGACAACACCCAGGGCACATGTAGGACTGGCACAGCCCCCTCTGCCAGGACCGAGCCCAGAGCCTTTCTGCCCAGTCTGCCTTTCCACTAGCTCTGGGCTATTAATACCAAACATGTGCTAAGCATCCAGCATGCCAGAGACTAAGGGCCAGGCCTAAAGAATGTGGTGACCATCCAGACTCTATGGTGACTGGGCATTGCAGCCCAACCCTGAAGCAAAGACACACTCTACAAAGGAGCCCCACTTCTTCCCTGGCTGCGGGGAGTCCTTATCCTTGGCTGTAGCATGGTTTTCGTGCCCTTTCCAAAGTCCCACATTTTCACTCAGTAAATCTCATTTATGGTCTAAACTAAAACACTTACACCATGTTAACTTTAGCCATTTCATGCTGGGTCTGCGGTAGAACACTGTTGTGGAAAATGTGGGACCAAATCATTGTTAATAATAAGATAATTCACAGTGTAGTCCCTAAGGATGTCAATTACTGTCATCTTCCTTTGGGTGGCACTACTGTGAGACATAGAGTAATAAAAAATGAATTATTTGCCAGAGGCCAAAAACTGTAACAATAATCAACAGCTTCTCTGTTTCGCCTCCCTGGTTGTAGGAACATAATTCTCAGTACAACTCAAACAGACCTACTACCAACCCTGACTGTGCCACTAACTTAGCAGGCCAAGTCACCAAACTGTTCTGAGCATGCTTTCTCATTTGGAAAAGAAGCACACTACCATTTTTACAAATGTTAAACTGAGATACACAGGTGAGATAACCTTCCAAAGTCACATGAGTAATAAGTGCCAGAACCAGTCTATGTGCCCCAGCAGTCTGGCCCAAAGGCATTGTAACTTCTCTCTCACCCTCCTAACACAAAGAGCTGCAGACTTCCACGTGGAATTGGCTAGGCACGCATAGGCACACGGTGTTGTTTAACTGCATATACACGTTTAGGCATGTTTTTTACTGTCTGACTCTGGCCAAGTTACGTAACTGGTTTGTCTCCTGTCTCTACACCTGTAAAACGTGGACATTAACAGAAGCTCCTCTTTCATAGAATAATTGTTAGAAATAAATAAGTTAAACAAGATGAAGGGCTAAGAAGTATGCTTGGCACTTAGGATAAGCTTCATATAGGATATATATTGGTACTGCTTTCCTAGCATGTGCCAGGCCCTGGGTTCCAACCCTTATCAGAAAAAAAAAGAAAAAGATTAAAAGTAACAAGTAACATGTTGTATCAGAAGCATTTTTTGGCGCCAATGCTTGGCGGATATTTTGTGGCTGGCTGGACCTACTGGCTTCAAATAGTGATGCTTGCTCTTTGGTAAATGTACTGCATTTAAAAAGAGGTTTTAACTTTTTATTTCATCAATGAAAAGACATACAGATCTGCAGGATGCTGGTTAGAAAGAAATTAGGTCAGGCCTATATGAAATCAGACCAAAAGCAAGAACCTATATAATAGAGGAGAAAGAAATCAGAACAATCTTCCTAGAGGCTTTTTGGGTTGTGAACTGTAATCCACCCACTGGATAAATGCTATGAGTAATGGGCAAAGAGCTTGTGAAAGTTTTATGGCTTGGTAACAATCTTTGGTTATATAGGTTAAAGTGACTTTATACCCAATACTGTTGAAAGCCAGGAATTTTATAAGTGAAAAAGGGCAGCTTTTGTGAACATGTTGGACATAAAACAAAACACCACATTAAAGGAAAAGCTGGAAAGCAGACAGGGCAAACTAGCTCAAGGGAGCCCTTCTGCAATCATTGTTATGGCTTTGTATTTATGCATCTTGCACCACATTTAAATTTGCAATAAAAAGCAAAAAAAAATGTCCAACACTTATTACTTTAGCTGCCTTTATACGTCCCACTGAGATATAAAGCAGAATTTCAGTGCTCAGATGAAGCAAAGGAGGAGCTCATCTTGTTTCATGTCTGTAGGGGCTGCCACAGCCTTAGCACCATGTTCTAATCATGGAATTCATAATGTAAATCTCTAGCAGATGACACCACTGGAAAACAGAAACTGCCATGGAGCCAGAAACATTTCCAAATTTCTCCTCTAAACTTCTTATCTGGCAGCCTGGGGGCACTGGTAGTTCTAATTTTATGCAATGAACAAGGCCTCCTGAGAAACATGTTCTTTGGAAAACGTGATGAAGGACTTTCAACCATTTCTTGAACACAGAAATGACCTTTTTCATTTATGTCACATGTGACAGTGCTAAACACTTCGCAACTGGCCACTCTGAGTGCTTTATTCTGTAAAGGGGTTGTGTCCCACACATACCTACATAGCTCATTCCTAATTACCAATAAAAGCCCATAGAAATCAAATGGATGGCCTCCAATAGAAGCCTTCTAGAACTGTCCAGAAAAGAGGAAGCATTTCCTAGTTGTTAGATAAAAGGTCTTTTATAAGTTAGATCATTATAGGAATCTTTTAAATCAACTTGAGGAAAACATAAATGTAAATATAAATCAACTTAGGTATACTCCTGGGGTACCCTTCCTGCTTCCTGGTGTGTTCTTTTTTTCTCCCTGTGATGTGAAGGGGACGTGCCAGGCTGGCTCTGCTATTTGCAGGGACATTTGCTGCCATCTTAATTTTTGTTCTGTATAGACAGCATCCTAAGAAACTCTAGGATGTTGAACGGACTACGAGCTGGGGGATGGGGAAGGAAATCTTTGTCTCCCTAACACATTTGTCAGTTGCCTCCCCAGAGCCCCCTACACGCAGCACACATGAGCAGCCCACTCACCCCCCTCAACACACCAGGGTTGGAAAGATTCATGTTGCAATACTCTCCTGACATTCTTCTTCCCGCCCTTGTTTTAATTTACTCACTTTTTTTTTTTCCTTAAAGCAAAATGTAATTACTTGACTGTCAGCCTGGGCTGCACTCTGGGGCTTTTACTCCTTTCAACACAGCTGTGCTCCCAGCTTTGATGCTGCTGTCCACGCAGCTTGTCCCCGCCGCAGCCCAGCTTTCTCTAATGTAACATTCAAGTGCGTATTTATTTTTAAACTGACCTCCTCTAGACTGTACAGTATAAAGCAGGTCCTGCCAAAAAAATATGCTACTTTCTATTTATAAGATGAAACACATGCCTCCCAAAGGCGAGAGGGGGATGGAGTATAATAATTCATAAAAAATGACTGGCCAGATCCATTCGTCCTCATATGTCTGATACTTGTCCGTGTTAAGGCACTTAGTTTCCGGGAGAAAGGAGTGGTGGTGTAAACACTTCAGCTGTTCAGAAATCACAATTAAAAAATTTTTTTTTCAACTGCCAGACCTGCAGGTTGGAGTCCCAGCTACAATGCGCCCCCCCCCCCACCAAACGGGAGAGAGACCGCGAAGGGGCACCATCACAGCAGAGCTGCACGGTGCACCCATATGTGGCCCTGGTGCAAACCCACAAGACAAGGGGCGCGGTGGCCACGCACGACTTGTCCTCAGACGGAAAACTGCAATAGTCAGACCGGCTCGGTCAATCGCGCGGGGGGTGTGGGGCGGCCGCGCAGCCCCACCCTTAAAAGTCGTGGGCACGCACGGTGTACTCAGCCTGACCCTTTCCGCTCGCTTTATCCCTAGCTGGTCCTCAGAATACCCGCTGAGAAGGCGATGCTCTCCGCGCCCCCCCTCACCGCTGGTTTCCAAGCCTAACACGAGCGCGCGCGGGGAGAGACCGTGGCCGTGGCCGGGGGGCAGACACTCACAGGCAGAGACGCAGGAGCCCAGGACCGGCTCCGACTCCGTCGCAGTCGCCGCCGAGGACCCAGCCGCTGCTCCCGGGCCGGGCGCCCGCAGTCCCTACCGGTGCGCGCAGATGCAGCGGGCCGCCGCGACGCCTGCTCAGACCATTACCGGCTCGGGGACCGCGTGAGGGCTCCCCAGGCTGGGGTCCGGGCCTCTAGATCCCGGCTCAGGCCCCGCCGCCGCGACGCGGGCCGCGGCTGCCTAGAAAGGTGCGAGCGAGACTAAGCGCGCGGCGAGCAGACGCCTACTCGAACCTGCGGAGGGCGTGGCCTCGGATGGGCGTGGTCTATGCGGGGCGGGGCCTCTGCAGGGCGGGGCGGGGCGAGGCGCGGGCGGCCCCCTCCCCGCCGCGGTACCTGTGCCCTGCGCGGGCGGGCGGGCGCCCGGAGCACGCGCCACGGTTCCCTCCCGCGGGGTCTACGCGCCCTCGGAGTACAATGAACGCTCACTGTCTGCTCCCTTGCGCTCCTCGCAATGTGGTTTCCCTCGGAGGGGAAGCCTCCCTCGGCTCCCTTGGTACAAATAAAAGCAGCGGGACGCTCGGCTCAGAAGAACCCGGGGTGCGCTCGCCCACGTCTTGCCCGAGGACAATAGGGCTCCGCCCGCACCCCACAAGCCGGAGAGGGTCTTTGTGTCCCCGCCTCTCCCGGGCCCCGCAGCCGACCTGGCGCCCACGGCTGCAGCGCGGGGGTGCGGGCCGCCTGGGGCGCAGAGCGGGAGGGGGGGTTCCCCCCGCAGCTTCCAGCTCGCCCCCTCCAGTTGCCGCCAAAACCCGGAGAGCGGATTCAGCGCCCTGGAGACGCGGCGCAGCGGGCTAAAACCGTGGGCCGGCGGAGAAACGCGGAGGCGGCAGGTCCTTCTGGCCGGAAGGAGGCATCTCCTCGCCCTCCGAGGCTGCAGAGCAGTGACCTAAAGCTGGGGAGCGGGTGGCGCGCGTCCCGACACAACGGGGCGCAAGTGGCGCGGCAGCCGGCCGGGAGGTGAAATTCCGCGGGCGGCGACACTTGCGCCTGCCGATCACCCGGGCCGCCACCGCGCACGCCCTGTCCCGAGCCGGAGAATTAATAGCCATTTTTCAATCGGCCTCTGTCTGTTCCTCCGCGACTCGTCCGCCAGGAGAAGGAGCAGGAGACCGGAAAGGGCGTCCTTTTCCTGCTGTGAGGTCCCAGCCCGCACGGTGGTCTGTGCATTGGCCGGCCCCAGGACTCAGGTTGCGAGGAAATCCTGACGCCGGCCGAGGCCCTGCAGGAGCCTTGGCTTCCAGACCGGTGTCAGCATCAGGTCATCACCGCGATGTCCGCACGTCGGCCTGAGTCTTGGGGGCGGGAGTGTGCTGAGTTAGTGCCGTAGAGCGAGGCGGGTGTGAAGGTGAAGTTGAAGAGGAAACGGACACAACTGCTCTGGAAAACTAAATATTGGGTGGAGTGTTTAAACGCCTGAAAGAAATAATAGTTGGCAGGTCAAATAGCCACGAGGTCGAAAGTCAAATACAAAACTCTGCTGAAGTGGTGTTAGAAATTTGCCAAACAAAGAAGTCTAGAAGATAAGAGACATGCATTGTTTCCTTCCTGCAAATGACAACTGCCGAGAATTTTCTTTTGGCAGATACCTGGGTTCTACTCTAGATTTCTGAGTTTCTTGAGGTTCATATTTCAAAATACACCTTCCATTTGGCAGTAATGTATATACTTTATATATGGATTTATTGTAAAAGTCAAATGTTATTGGCCTACTTAAAAGTATTTTTATAAAATATTTATGCATGGCTTTCGTTACAGATGGTATTTTAAAAAGGACAAATATCTATATGTATTTATAAAATATTACATAAAAATTCCTTTGCACACAAAGACATTGCTTACACATGTCCTGTTTTTGTTGTTGTTGTTTGCTCTATTGTTAGCTGCTGTTGAAAGCACCTTATTGCCACGATATGACAAATTCTTTTATATTTTGTGCAAGCAAAGAATGGCAGGTTGTTGGAGGCTGCAATTTTATTCTAAAACGCCATTTTTCCTCTTCTACTCTGTTCCTTGTAGGGTTTGTCTCATTTCATGCTTTTTAAAGGTCCTGGTGGTAGTGATCCGTTTTCTCCTAGCTTCCTTGATGCCACTTATTAGTGGCATCATTGAAGACTGTTATTTCAGTCTTCAGTGAGGAAGGTGCCTTCATATAGAGTAGTAGCGTCGAGTACATGACAGTGCTGCCTGCACTAGAGCCAAGTTGTCCCAGCCAGCATCGCCCCTGTGGCCGAACATCGATATTCAGATTTAATTGCAGTGTTGGACACTTTACAATAAATAAGTGGGTTTGGGGGTTGTAGTTTGGGCATTCAGCCTCTAAAAGGTTAGCGATCACCAATAGAGAGGATTACCTTTCCCAGTGGGTACATTTCGTATAATAATGATGACTTAAGACTTCAGTGTGTGTGTGTGTGTGTGTGGTGTTCCTGTGGAAGGGAGAGGAAAGCATTGATTAGGAAGATTTTAGAGATTCTGCTCTGAATTTTGGAAAGGCTTAGCTTTGAAAAAATTGGTGGTAGCCTTGAAAGCCTAAATGAAACTAATATCTGTGGAACACCTGTCAGGCCCAGTCCTTGGTTGGTTTTCTACTAGTCTGTACTCAAAAGAGCAAGGAATGTCTTTATTGTCGACTCAAGGAGTGGGGCACACCATGCCAGTGTACCTTAGCAAGTACAGCTTGTCGCAGAGTCGGTCCAGGAACAGTGGCGCCAAGCCTCATCCCAGACCTACTGCTCTGCAGGCTTCATTTAATGAAAGGGGTTGATTTGTGTGCCAGTTTATTGTTCAGAGAGCTCTGACCCAGAGTAGTGGTTCGCCCCTTTGGCAGTAACAAACTCATTTTAAAATCTCATGGAATTCACGAACTACCTTTTTGAAAAAAAATGAATTACCCACAAATTCTCTCATGTCCAGTTTTGGGGTTTCTTGAAGACTTATCTGTTGATGGCAAGGAATTTCTAAATCAGACTTGCAGTCATGAAACAAGGAGAGCCACTCCGTGTGGTCAGCCCAAGGAGTTAGGGAAGGATTCCTAGAGGAAGCAAATTTTTTTGAGTCTCTTGAATTACAGGGCGGTCACACAGGGAAAAAATTAAGGAAGGATATTTCAGCCAGGTGGACATATAAGTAAACAGGCCCAGAAGGGAAAGCACCAAGTATGCATTTTACAGTGTGTTAACAACGTGACACTTAATGAGACTGTGGTTTTATTCCAGGTTCTCCTTACAACTTACTATCATCTCTTGAATCTCCCAAAAACTGAGGTCAGAGTGTAGACTAGTGGTCATTCTACCTCATGGGAGGGTGGAGCGGCAAAAACCTTGGGATGTGGGATTTTGTGTGAGACCTCATGTTTCATCAATTACTATCCCTTCTTATTCCCTCGGCCCTGGCCAAGCATGTTCAGGCTGTTCCCAATTCATTCCTGCAGATCCCAGTCCTCTCGGTCTGCCCAGGGCCATCACCAAAGGCTCCTTTCTCCATTCATTAAGGTCTTCATTCAGTAAGAGACTTCAAGGGAGAGGCTTTCCCTCCCCTAAAACAGTAGCGCCACCCACATTCCTTTCTCCAAATAAAGCAGGGAGAATAATTTTCTCATGTCCTGACATAATGTATTTACGTGACGGCTTATTTTCTGTAATAGGAGAGTTTAATGGACTATTGCAGCTCCTATATGTAAGACAGGGCCCAGCACATAGTAGGTCCTTAATAAATAGTGATTGAATAAATATCTGCCTAACTACAACCAGTGATGAGTAAAAGCCTGGCTTATAAACTGCAGCTACAGAATAATGGTATATTAAACATTCCCGCGATCTACTGCACATATGCTGAGACTGAAATTTCAATCACTTCTCTTTAGTCTAAGTGGACAAGAAATACAAAACACATGAAACATTTTAAGTTCCAAAATTCAAACATTTTAAAGTAAGGCTTACAAAAACTCTTTATAGGCCATGTATAATGCATAACTATTTTTCTTCTGGCAAAGCTGAAATGTACTTGTGTGTGCTCAGCTGGGGTTTGCCTCCAAAATGCCACATTCAGCTTGAACTTGAGTGTGTATGTTCTCGATTATCCCCACAAGTTAGATTTGAGGAAAAAAAATGCAAGAAAAGCTGAAGGATTAGAACATTTTTTCTCCTCTTGGTGCTGGGGATGGACACCAGGACCTTGCACATACTAAGCACAGCTGTACCACTAAACCTATATCTCCTGTCTAATTTAAAGATTTTTAAAAGAACCTCTTTACAGGTTGAAGAGTCTCTTGCTACCCTGTTAGAACTTCACCTATTGTGAAAATTCACCTGTGCTAAAAAATTTGGTTGACTAGTTGCCAGAGGCAGAGGAATTTTTCTAACCAGTGATTTTAATGTAACTAATGAAATTCAAGTCCCATCTTGGCTAGGAGATGTCAGTTCCTCCTAATCAAATGCAGCAGGAGCTGGTATACTATGAGACTGTGTTAGCATGCAGGCTGCAAGGCACAGCATACAGTTTCCAGCTGGTCACAGTCACCCACCCAACCACTGACTCCTAGAATGCTTTTTGAATTTGTATTAGCTGTTGAACCCAGGCCAGCATTAATTTAACTTGTGGACGATGAGGCCTTCAAATATAGATGTATGCACCATCTGATTGTTAGTAGAGACCAGTGACTAATAAATAAGATTAGCAGAGATTTATATAGCCTTCTATGCTTTTAAAAATCCTTTTACATTTATCTCATTTCATTCTCACTTTGGGTTGTTTTTGTGATTTACACTTTTCCTTTTTCCAGAAGATACTGAAGGCAACTTAAAAAGCTTTTGTGTATAATGAGTCATTATAGACCTAGAGAAAGGTTTGTGATTCATTCACTCAGGGTCATACAAATAGTGATAAATCAGTTTTTCTAGATTTTAACCTCTGGAAATATTTTTCTGAACCTTCTTCATTTGCATACCTGATAGCAAACCTAGATTATTGCATTGTTTATCTTTGTTTATTCTGTTTGGTGCCTGCAAAAGGAACATGGTAAAGACAATAAGACAAGCAGGAAAATCATTATATCAGTTAATGTACGGAGTTAGTGAGAAACAAGACGAAAAAGGAAAGGAGACAGAAGTCGTAGTGATGTTGCTTCATTTCTCCTCCTCTCCCCACAGGCATTCACAC